GTCACTATTCAGTGCCATAATCTTGACTTAATCAATTGGTTACCCTAGGCCTGAGTTTCTTTATAAGTAGCAAATAGAGGTGAGATGATCTTGAGCTTCATGGGAATTTAATTTGCTCTAACTGGCACACTACCACACCAATTATCACTAGAGGTACCCATTGAGATAATAAAATCCTATAGAGAACCTTATTGACTGCCTTCCCAGCGGCAGTTTCCCTCCTTTTTTCTTTACAAGAACACCACTTTCTGTATGTATGCCATGACTTTTATCAAACGCTGGCCTAAACGCCTGGCCTACCTACAATTATGGGATGCAGTTGTGGTCAATGACATGCAATGAGAAATATGCAATGGTACCCCTCAGAAAGGTTTATAATATAGAAAAAAGCAGCAAAATAAAAGGTGCTGTTCACCTAACTCCAAGCATAGTTGTATGAACGTGTTGAGAACATCAGAAGTAAATTTGTGGTTATTAGTGTACATGCCTAAAACAAAGCCAGCAGGTGAAGAATGGCTGAGAAAAATGAAGCTCTGATAAATTTATTGAGAAATTCAATATAACCTTCTACATTCTGACATATAAAATACTGAATTTCTTTTTAAAATTACTCATGAATTCTGTTATTTAATGCTAAAAGCATTCAAGTAGAAAAAAACAAAAAAAAATTTAAAAGAACAGTTACATATCTATTTACCCTTAGATCCCATCACCACTCAATCATGTGTAGTACAACCTTTACAAATGTTGACTGTATCTCCTATATCTATCTTTCTACATGAGGGAATAAAAAAAAAAAAAAAAAAAAAAAAAAACTCTGTATGGTGAGCCCAAACATTTCCCTCAATATTTTTGCTTTAAATAAAAAGCATGTCATGAAAGGGAGAGTATGTAGTAACTATATATTCCAGCTGGCAGGATTCCACAATGGAACATTATAAAGGCAAAAAAACTTATCCCATTGATTAAACAGTTGCAAAGAAAAATATCATGGGGACACCTAAACATTAATAAATAAGTCTGGTAGTGAATTTCACATGATTCAAATGTGGGCCAATGTTGAGCAATAATTCAATATGGCTACCTAAGTTAATTTAAGAGTAGTATGTTAAAACTGACATTAGATGTAGTTTGTAAAAACAGGTGGATAAAAAGGTAGGGAATTAGGAATGAACTAGTGAAAACACAATAATTATCTGAATAGTTAACTGCCAAGCTCTCTATTCATCATATCTTGAACATGTTGTACAATTCTTTAGATAGCAGATATATTTTGAAATATTTCTTGGCTACACATAAAAACAATAAGCATTTTGAGTCAACATAGCTTGTGTGGTATTAGTCTTGCCAAAAGGGTCAGAGGGTTTTTCTCAATATGCCTAGAGTAGGCCTTGTCCAATAAGTGTCACTTTGGTATGGGGAACTAAGATCAATCAAGTTCACATAGGCCTCAACAAAACAGGTTACCATTACATAAAATTGCAGATTATTTTAAGGTAATAGCAGTAAAGGCACTAGAGGCTAAAAGTAGTTTGTCACAGATCTTTGCCCTTTTCCTAATCAAAGAAGCAACTACTGCTCTCCTTTTCATGATCTAGAAGAATGTAGCTTGGGGGTATCAGACAGGAGAGAGTTTATCTCTAAGAAGCTCATCTTTTTACTCTGAGAGTTAAATAATGAGGTCATCTCCTCATTGAAGTCTCCCCTTTCTCTCTCCTTGATGTCCCGGGTCTTTAAATATATATGTTATGAAGTTTTGGCTTTTTATCCTTCGGATCTGTTTGATGTTACTTTTTTCTTTCATCATGCCACAGAAGAAACCAAATGGGATGTGGGAAATTTTCTCCTGCATGACAACACTTTTAAACCCCTATCAAATTCTCAAAGGATACCTTAAAAACCATACCTGATGAAACTTCCTGGTTTCCTTACTAGTCTTGCTATGGAGCAGCCCCACAGTAGAGAATGAGACTCTTAATCTCAAGGTCTTGGGTTCTAGCCCCACGTTGGGCACCAAACTGTTAAGGAGCAGCCCCGATATAAAATGGGTTGCCTGGCTGTGGGTCCTCACCCACGCGCTTAAAAGGGACTTATTAATACTCCACTACAGGCACACACAAAAGGTTAATAAAAGGTGTATTTACAAGGGAAAGGGAAATTAGGAAATGTACAACTCAGGGAGAAAATAGGAAAATAAAGTCTTTAATGCGTCCTACCCCATCCGCCAACCTGGAAACCCAAAGGCACTCTGAGAGCTGGCCGAGCACTGCGAGCTGGCGGAAAGCCAAAAAGGGAACCCCCCAAAGCCGATGTGTCTGGTTTTATACCAAACCTGGCTGCTTAACCCCACCCTCAGGTTCCAGCAACCTTCCCTTTGGTGGTGATGGGATTTGTCTTTCCCAATGTCCTGATAGCCTTGGTCTGGAGTGGGGGTGGAGTCCACAAAGCCTGTATGGAATTAGCTTTAGGACATCCTTTTCCCCCTAACAGTCTCTCCCTTTAATTCCCATAGCACATTGTTTCTATGTCTACTTTGGCTTTGTCTGTTTTGCATGAGCTCTTTTTCATGTACTTGTCACCATTACTTGGTAACAACTCTGAAGACATAAGTGTCGTTTAACCACATCTGTACCCTTGAAAGGTCTATTCAGTCATTTAAGGAGACTCAATGATTTGTTGAATTGACAGGAATTGTAATAACTTGATTCTTCCAAACCAAAGTCTTTTATTAGAATTTTTCTTTAAAATACTACTTAGCAAAGAATTTTCTCTAACCAAAATCCTTGATTACAGTTTCTTTGTACAAACTGACAAAAGAATGTAAATGTCAGACCTGGTAAAAAGTCACTTTAACATGCAAATGCCTTAATACAAGGAAAGTGCAAGTCATTATGAAAAGTCATTTCTCCATCAGGTGTTAAGAACTATTTCATATCAAGTCATATATGGGCACTACCATTGTCAGTCTCTATGCCACAGAAACAAAAACTCAGTTACTTGTAATCATCCTTTTCCTGTGCCCTTTCTTCATGGTTACTAATTAAGTCTAGAAAATCTCATGGTACCTCTTTTATCACTTACTATTTTAAGTCCCCATTAAAATGACATGAGTAGAGAAAATACTTTCCTCCCTGATGAACTGAAATTGCATTTTGATTGGTCTGTTTCCTATCTCCACTCCCTCTCTTCTGTCCATCCTGACCATTGTTATAAGAGTAAATCCTTTATTCTCCTAAGACCTACATGTTAGCATACAATGTATCCTTGATTATTGCTCCTGAAGAACTGATGTGGAATTATAACTTTGAGATTCAAATATAATCAAAATGTATATAACCACTGTGTTATGTACATGAATACTTGTTTCAAAACCAAAGTGAAAACTTTTCCTTTTTTGCTATAAAATTATGTAATACACCATCTATATTCAAAAAATCTCTTTTAACTTAATTATTTGAGCTCAGGTAATAACAATAAAGCACTTAGCTTCATTCTTGTGATTAAAAAAAACTGGACCTAAAACTAGAACTACTTTCCTGTTACATACAGTTGCATATACATAATTATACCTTTTTTTTTTTAAATGCCGATTTCTACTATTAAGTCATATTTCAATTTCCACATTTTAGCAATGGCTTGTGAAAAGACCGTCAATCTATATGTTAAATTTATGAATAAAGGAATATTATAAAGGACTCAACTAAATTTTTTCCAAAGATGACATACAAATAGCCAACTAGTCCACGACAAGGTATTCAACATCGCTAATCATGAAGGAAATATAAATTAAAATCACCTCATGCCTACTAAGATGGCTATTATGAGAAATATAAGAGATAAGTTTTGGCAAGGATATAGAGAAAAGGGACTCCTTCTACAATAATTAGTAAGGAAATGACTTGGTAACAATGTTATGGGGAAAATGTTTGAGGAGAATGCTAGTGAAATATGTCAGAAGGAAAAAGATAAATACCGATGGCATCACTAATGTGCAATATAAAGTAACTAAACTAAAAGTCAGTTAAAGACATGCTGAAAAACTAAGCTTCAATAGCTGACTGCAGAACTGAGACAATGAAGGGGGAGGCGGTGGGGGAAGGGAAAAGGACAGGGAGGGAGGGAGGCCTAATGGTCTGTGGTTATGGAGTATGGGCAAGTTGGTGGTGGATGCACTATGGTGGTAAAACCTGCTGGGGATACCCCAATGTTACCTGGGTTAAAAATAAGTTAATTAAAAATAAATAATAAATAAATAAAATGTCATGGTATAAAAAAAAAATAAATAGAACTACTATGTTGTCCAGCAATTCTACTTCTGAGAATATTTTCAAAGGAAGTGAATTATCTCATAGATGTTTGTTTATCACTTGTTTAATTACAGCATTATTCACAATAGCCAAGATATGGAACCAACCAAAGTGACTAGATAAAGAAAACGTGGTATACACTTACAGTGGAATATTATTTCACCATAAAAAAAGAAGGAAATTCTGCTATTTGTGACAACGTGGATGAATGTTATAGTAAGTAAAACAACTCACACAAAGAAAGACAAATATATTTCACTTATATATAGGATGTAAAAATACCAAACTCAGAATGAGACAGGAGAATGGTGATTTTTGTGGGAAAAGGGAAATTGGGAGATAGTAGTCAAAGGATATAAATCTTCAGCTCTAAGATGAATAACTTCTGGGGATGTAATGTAAAGCAAGATAATTATAGTTAATAATACTGAAATGTATACTTGTAAGTTTCTGACAGTAGATCTTAACTGTTCTCACCAAATAAGAAATGATAACTATGTGTTAATTAATCCGTGGTAATCATTTCATTTTATATGTGTAGTATACCATCATGTTGCATACCTAAAAAATAAAATCATATTGTGCAAACTAAGTATAAACAATTTTCATTTGCCAATAATATCAAGCAAAGCTGGAAAAAATAAGAAGAAACTTATAAAATATTTACACAATTTGTAATAGAAAGGTACCCACCTGTATGTCCATGTCAAAACCAATTTCACGAAGAACATTCACAATAATCAGACAATTGTGCAGATAATGTTCAGGTCTTTTTGGTTCTGTGTACATATTTAGAAAATAAGATTCAATCTGGAAAAGAAAACATTAAATGTTTTAGTAATAATAAAAATGATTGCTTTTTAGCTGTTCTCTACAGTTCAGCAAAGAATCATTTAAATATTAACATTTGTTAGCAGCAGATTTTGAAGTAGTAGGTTTTAAGCAAAGAGGGAGTGCCAGAGACACAAATACATATGCATTTAAGTCAGGTGTGTCTTAAGACATAAATGAATCAGTTTGCACAAAATATAATTTGAATTTTAGTTACTAAGTTTTTTCAAATAATATTAGACCACTATATATAAAAATGACTCACCAAAAATGGGCAATAAGCTCCCATTTGTGCTGCAAAAACAAGGCCATCTGATAGGTCGTTGTCAAAATTTACTATCCATCTTTCAGAGGGAATAGCTCCTGTTCCAGAAAAGAAAGAGGGAATAAAAGAATAATTTTCCTTTCCTAAAATGATAGCTTAAGGAAATTTGATCAATAGAGACAATTTTATCTCTGCTTGGAAACAAAAAAGCATATTATTTTAGAAATTAAAACCTAAGAAGCTTAATAACACAGTATATGTCTGTAAGGCTTTGTAAGCAACTGCAAGCTGTCTCCGTCACTTGTATTTGAACTAATTTGAAGAAGATACTACCATACATCAATGAAGAAAATATCCACTATTTCAAAATTACTCATCCTGTTGAGTACCCTGAAGTTCAAGTGCTTGGTCAATGCTCATCAACATGGGTAAGGAGGCACGGGGTTAACTGTAACTCTGAAGTTTTCATGCCAGTTTCCCTATTCGTTGCAGAAACTCCTCCACATGCAGGATACATGTGTGGAAGGGATTGGAAACTTAGAAACCAGAATTGACCTATAAAAGATATTACATGATGGATGAGTAATAAAAGGAATTCTCAGTTATTGAAATTATGATTATGCTGACACTGGGAAAAGAGTAAAATGATCTGGATATATAGTACATATCTGAAAGGCTGTCTATTTTGGGAGGGAGGGTGATTTAAACATCAGAAATTATTGCTATGTTGGAAGTAAAATTTCCCTTTTTTAAGTTTCCAAAAGGATCTACATTCTTGAAGGTTTTGAGATGGTGTCATATCTGAAAACAAAACAAAATGAGATTCCCCTGATTCTTATGACAGGATATGTTCATGAGAAATTCACAAGCCAGGATTACATCACAACTGAAACTAGAAGACTTTGTTTTCTCTGGAACCAAAGATGGCCTGGATCTTTTTCAGAAACAAAAGTACATGGTACTTTTTCATCTTAGATGCTTACAACATTGAACATATCTAAAGAATTTCTCTGACATCTTACAGATGCTACAACATTGAACGTATCTATAGAATTTCTCTAACATGTTATTGTAAAATCAGTCTTGCAAAGATACCTAGGGATTTTCAAATAATATATACAAAATATTATCCTGCACTTTATTTTTCAAAGCATTTTTTCCTGCTAGAAACCTATAAATATCTGCATATCTGATGTAAGATGTGATACAATGATTTTAAACTGTGTATTTCTAGTTAGCTGGGTAATTATAGCCTAAATGTGCTTCCGTTGATGTATATTTGCCACCCATGGCTTTTAATAAAAACAAAATGACTCACTTTCATAGCCAATATTAAGAATGGATGCAATTCTAACCTTCATGTGAAAAAGGCAATTTACTAGCCTTTTGATAGGGAATCAGTTAGCAATGAATATAGGCCATGTCCTCTAAATATCTCATACTCATCTTGTAACAATTAGAAGGGATATAAATCGCCATAAAGGAGGTGAACCTCTTTTGAGGAAAGATCACATCCACAACAGAAAAACAACTAATAAAAAATCTCTTAACTATAAGCAAATGAATACATGGTAACGCAAAAATAACTGTGTTACACTATTACTTCCAACTCCACCAACTGCAATCCTGCAGCACTACAGGATTCATTATGAAATGTTCCCCTTTCTTCAACAGTTAAAAACCTTCAACAGTTAAAATACAGATATGATCTATCTGTATATTTATTTAACTCTAGAATATAAAGTACTTTCAGAGCTGCAAACCCATACAAACACGGATGTACAGGTTTTTTTGTCTTTAGTTCTACAGTATACAGGCATATTATTTTTTAACATAATTGAGTCACTGCCTTTCTTCTTATATTCAAAGAGTTTGTCAAACATTTGTAATGCAGATTCATTTGTCACAGTCTATGTTTCATTCTTAATTACTTCTATGTTTTGGCTGATTAAAAAAGATACATACACTAACATGTATTCTTAGTGGTGTGCAATTCTAGGATTTTAATGGACATGTTGTCACACAGCTACCATATTTTTTCCACATGGGAGTTTCATTACCCCCCAAATTTTCATGAGCTGCACCTTTGTAGTCAATCCCCTTTCAGCCACTGACAAACACTGATATAGTTTTTCAGCCCTGTAATTTCACTTTTCCCAGAATGCCAAAAAAAAAAAAAAGGAATCACAACATCAGCATGGAGTTTCTTGGGGCTGGCTTCTTTCACTTAGTAGAATGCAATTAAGATGTCTTCTTGTTGTGAGAATTAATAGTTCTTTCCTTTTTGTTGCTTAGAATATTATATGGTATGGATGTGTCATAGATAGCTTATCTAATTACTGATTGAAGGATATTTCCTTTGTTTTCAGTTTGGGGCCAATTGCGCATAAATCATACAAACATTCACAGACAGGTATAATGGTGACCATCAGTTTTAATTACTTTTGGGTAAATACCTCGGAAAGTAATTTCTAACATATATCAATAATAATTGTACTGAACAACAATCATACTATTTTCGACCTACCCATTTACTTTTGCTGAAGTATCTGCTCAGAATTTTGACCAATTTTTTTCAAATTGTATTATTTCTTGTTGAATTTTGAGAATTCTGACACCCCACATGCAAGATATCTGTGGGATATGTGATCCAAAACCATTTTTCTTCTGATCTATAGCTCGTCTTGTCATTTTCTTAAAAGAATTCTTCACAAAGGAGAAATTCAAATTTGATAAATTCTAATATGTGATTTTATGGAGCATGCTCTGGTCTTGTATCTAAGAATTTATTGTGTAACCCAAGGCCATGTTGATATTCCCCTGCTTTCTCCAAGAAGCTTTTTTGTTTTTGAATATTATATTTAGGAATATGATCCACTTTGAGATATTTGTATGGGGTATGAGGACTAGGCAGGCTCTTTTTGCATATGTCAGTCTAATTGCTCAAATACACTTCATTGAAAAGACTACCCAGCCTTCATTGAATTGCTTTTGTATGTTAGTAAAAAAAAAAAATAGTTCTATTTGAATGGGTCTCTCTAGTTTGTTCCACTAATTTATAGGTTTATTCCTTTGCTAGAATTGTACAGTCTTAAATATTATAGTTTCTGAATTTCTTCTACTTTTTCAAAATTGTTTTGGCTATGCTAATAACTATTTTTTTCCATATATATTTTGGAGTCAACTTAATGATATCTACCAAAGAAACTATGGTGGGCTTTCCACTGGGTTTGCATTGACTCTATAGGTCAATTTGATATATTAACAATATTTAGTCGTGCAACCCATGTGTATAGTGTATTTCTCTAAATATCTTTGATTTCGTATTTTGTTAGGTTTATATTTACACTTGTTTTTTTTTAATATTTATTTATTTATGCATACAAGAACCGGGGTACAGGCCAGAGATATGGGGGTGAGAGGATTCACTAAAGGCAGAGTAGAGAACAGAACAGGCGGACTGACTAAAATACACTGCTGAGGGGAGCAGCAGGTGAGACAGGAGAGGTCTGCTTTGCCATGTGGGTTGCTCTCGGGCCAGCCGGGGATCAAATTTGTGCTGCAGAGGCTGTGGATTGCTTCATAGGGCGGTGCTTAACCCCCTTGTGCCACCAGGGAGGTCCCAATATTTATGTTAGGGGAAAAAGGCTGTCCTAAAGCTAATTCCATACAGGCTTTGTGGACTGCCCCCCCCCCCACTCCAGACCAAAGCCATCAAGACACTGGGAACTACAAATCCCATCACCACCAAAGGGAAGGTTGCTGGAACCTGAGGGTGGGGTTAAGAAGCCAGGTTTGGTATAAAACCAGACACGTGGGCTTTGAGGGATTCCTTTTTTTTTTTTTTGGCTCGATGCCAGTTTGCAGCTCGGGCAGCTCTCAGAGTGCCTTTGGGGTTTCCAGGTCCGCGGATCAGGTAGGACGCATTAAAGAATTTATTTCCCTATTTTCTCCCTGAGTTGTACATTTCCTTATTTCCCTTGCTCTTGTAAATAAACCTTTTATTAACTTTTTGTGTGTGCCTATAGTGGAGTATTAATAAGTCCCTTTTAAGCGTGCGGGTGAGGACCCACAGCCAGGCAACCCGTTTTATGTCGGGGTTGCTCTGTAACATTTACACTTCTTATTCTGTGATGCTACAGTAAATTATATATATAAATAATTTCAAATTCTAATTTTTGCTGCTATGATAAACTTTATTTTTGCCTACTGATCATATATCCTACAGACTTGAGAAACTCAGATACTAGCTCAAAAAGCATTTTTATAGATTCTTTGGGATTTTCTACTTTACTGTCACGTCAAATCCCTAGGGTGAAGGGGTTTTGTTGCTATCGTAGTTTGTTTTTGAAACTGCAATGAATTTTCGCCCTAAAGATGACTGTATGTGCCATACTTCTCCCCAAAGGTTAACACTTTCTTTCCATAAAGAACATAGAAAATCTGGGCTTCCATGGTGGCGCAGTTGCTCCCATCAGCAGTGCTTTCGGTCAGTCTACCTGTTCTGCTCCCCACTCTGTCTCTGGTGAATTCTCTCAGCCTCCCGCGCCTCTGTCCTTTACCCCAGTTCTTGTATAAATAAAAATAAATCTTTAAAAAAAAAAGTACATAGAAAATCTGGGCAAATTGCTTGTCACTCCACTAGGAGTGGCAACTATGAGGGATACATTTTCCGGATTCACTTCAGTCATTTCTGTGAGGAACTAAAGTGGTATGTAGAGTAAACATCTGCAAGGTGGTAAATTCCACACTTCACCATACAATTCATCCCTTTTACCCAACTATCCACCCCCCTCTCCTCTTCCCTTCTGGTAACCACTAATTCATTAGAACACAATTCTAATTAGATATTTGACAAAACCATGGTTAACAACAATACTAATAGCCAACATGTGTGGTATGTCAATTAAAGGACTAAAAATTTTATATATTTTTGTTTATTTAATCCTTAAATCAAGTAATATGATCGTGTAATTGTTACTAATGTTATTTACCAGAAAAGTGAGAACAGGAAGATTAATTTATTTTCCTAGGAAAGAGTGTGACTGGGATTTGGAGTCAAGTAGTTTGACTCCAAGGCTTATGTTAAATGTCACTG